TGGGGGCACCAAATATATGTGTCACACAAAAGAATGAGAATGAGAATAGAAAAAAAGAAGAAGAAGAACAATAATAACCACAGATTAGTGTGAGGTAGTGTAATAATAATAATAATGGGGAAAACAGAAAGCTACAACCAGAAGAATTTCAGTTAAGAAAGATACAACCACTTTTCATAAAGAAAGTAAAATAAGATTACAGCAGGATCGCCACTGGCTTCCATTCTGAGCCATATTTGATAACGTCTCTAGCCACTGTGTAGCACCATCTCTCAGACCCCAACCAGGGAGTCGCGTGGGACCGACAGAAGCCAGCCCTTTGTAGCTTTCTTTCATACCTCGACACCATGTCATAAACTGACCACCTCTCCGCTTCTTCCAACCAGTCCCGGCGTCCGCAAATAATGCACGACGTGGAATTATCTGGGACGACATTCGTAGAACATGTCCAAGCCACCGAAGTCGGTGTTTCAAGATGTTGACATCGATTACATTATCATCTCTGTCCCCGAACACACAATGCCGAACCTCTGCATTACTGACATGGTGTTGCCATTGGATGTCAGCAATTCTTCGGAGACAACGATGATCAAACACAGAGAGTCGTCTAACATCCTAAACTCGGAGAGGCCAGGTTTCACAAGCATGGAGCAGAATTGCTATCACCGACGCGTTGTAGATCCGACCTTTTACAGCCAGACTGACATCACGAAGGCGCCAAAGATGACTCAGATTGGCATAAGCCGCTCTGGCCTTCAAGATGTTAATAAACTTCTCAGACACACCCTTACTCAACAGACAATCCCAGAGAACAGTCCTATCCAACGAATCGAAGGCAGCCCTGATGTCAAGAAACACCACGATTGTTGGCCTTTGATAAGTATGGCGGTGTTCTAACATTTGGCGGAGGGTGAAGATATGATCAATACATCCTCGACCAGAACGAAACCCAGCCTGCTCCTCGCGAGTCAATCTTTCTCGGGTATTGAACAACCTAGAAAGTATGACGGAAGCCAATAGCTTGGACGCAATCGGAAGTAGGCTTATCCCCTGATATATATATATATATATATATATATATATATATATATATATATATATATATATATATATATATATATATATATATATATATATAACATCAATCCGTTGATGGTGGTCACCTCGTTGTCCACTGAAAAGTAAGGCAAGATTGGTCAAGGCATGGTCAGAGTCCAGATAGGTACTCCAAAAGGAGCGGCAGTCTTGTACACAACCACGCCAGCGGTAGCTGATCGCGATGTGATCAATCTGAGTCCAGGCTTGAGATGCAGAGGGAGGACGCCAGGTGGCACATCGGCGATGACTGTGCCGAAAGTTAGTGCTAGCCAGAAACAGGTTGTGGTCTGTGCACAGTTGCAGTAGACGGTCCCCGTTATCTGACCTGCGACCAACGAGTCCCCATCGGCCACCTAAACGACTCTCTTCTGTGCCTAGTCGCCCGACCTGAGCATCCAAGTCTCCGGCTAGTACTACAATATCTGTCGAACGTACTTTCTGAAAAAGATCAGTTAACTGGTGGTAGAATTCATCCTTGATTGCATCCGGGCTGCAATCTGTCGGGGCATAGGCGAAGATGACGAAAAGACATCGTTTCTCATGCCGATTTCTTCTCACTTTGGTGGAACTCTCTAATCTAACAGCACATAACCGACTGTTAATGGGGATCCAATCGACTAGTGTTGCCTCGGCTCTAGCGCTTAGTGCGACACCAACGCCAGCAAAACCAGACGAAGATGCCACAGGGTCCTTGGATAAACACATGTTAAACAAGCTTTTCGAAGCGACAGATGGAGATCGAATTTATAGTACTTCGCCAGAGTATTGAATACGGGTCTCAGATAGACAACAAACGTTGATATTAAAACTTTCCAAAGACATAGCCAACCCTATCTGTTGTCTGACCTGCACTAGTGTGCGAACGTTGAAGCCAGCCAGTTTGAATGGTGCACGTGGTTTCAGAAAAACTGCTTCAGTTCTCGTATTCGGTGGTAACATACAATTTTCAACCGGACAGTGACTCGAGAACGTTTAGATACAGTCGAATTTCCACCAAAGACGAGCCGCTGTATAAGTATAAAAGAGGGTGAATAATGTGGAAAATAATAATAATGACAATAATTGTATTGATAATAATTTGAATCAATTTATTGTTTTTCGAAGCGAAAAAGTAATTTCCATAGACATAAAGAGTTCATCATTCGTGTGTGGGCTGTGATACTGCCCGGGTGCCCAAACCGAAGCAGGTGGTTATCTTAGGGGGCCACTCCCCGAGCCTTCGACCTGGAGGTCTGATCCACAAGGCAGTGGAGCATCGTAAGGAGATGCAGTCCCATGGAAGCCGGTGACCAACGATTGGTTCATACGCCATTTGTTCCCTCAGGATCCTGGAGCCCATGTGCACCATTGGTTTGGAATCCGGTTAAAGCGCCGGACATTCGCTTTTCGTCCTCTCATTTTCGTAAACAACACGCCCACTACGAGAAGGCAATGAGTAGGACTTCTCTGGCAGAGGCTGTGTACGCGCGGCCGTGTTAGAGTATTTCGAGAGGGAGAGCGGACTCTCCCCACTCTCGACCGTACCAGGGCACTCGGGGGCCATTCAGCACGTATTAATATCATCCCATTCATTTTTTAAAACTGCTATGATGGAAAATTATTTTTCCCAATTCATCTAGCTAATTCCTATGGAGTTGTCGTGATACTTTCATTCGTATTCTACCTTATCTTTATTTAAATATCTGTTTACCAAAAGTTAGTCACTGTATATGTAAATTTTGTCGGAGTAAAAATAAATGTTTTGTCTGAGCTCGTGGATTTTCCACGGATCTTCTTATGGGTACTGTATCAGTGTTAATTAAAGCAGCAAATTAATTTTGTGAAATCGCTTATAGATCAAATCTAAATTAATCAAAAGTCAGTTTAATTTTAATGCGATTACTTTGAATCGCGTTAATTAAAAATCACTTCATGACATAAATATTGTAATTTGCTCTCTGGTTTGTATTGAATACAATAGAATAATATAATATAATATCACGAAGTTAGTTTCTACATTCCGTAAATATTCTTGTTGTCGTTGTTGATAAAGAAAGTGAACATTAAATCATCCTTTCTGCTCCCAATATTGATCTGTTGTTATTTTTTAAATTATCTGTAAACTCATTTATGTAGTTATACATTGAATCATTGAGCTTAAAGATTGATTAATGTCTGTTAAAAATTCGTGATATTAGTGTTTCAACATTTAGTCTGAGATATATATTTTTAGTCTTATAGTACTTCTCAATGGTTTATTATCCCCTTTGTCTGCATAAATGTGTGTGATTTAGTTGATGTTAAACTTTGTCCTTTGTTGATTTCTCATCGTTTAACTTTCATCATCAACAAATACATCTATATAGTTACCTTAAAAAAGTATTTGTTTTTCTTTTCATAAAAATTGTGAGAATATCTTCACTTTATTATGAAGCAGCCATTTATTATGCCCAGGAAGACTTCGTTCAAAGGTATTTTGAAGGTTGCACTATTTTCATACTTAAGTATCTGTAATTGCATGAATACTTCTGGTACTCGTTTTGTAATGTGAATTTCTGGTGTGGCGATGCCATTAGTAAAGTACGCCTTTTCAATACATTCTGGGCGTAAACTTTCTTCACAAATCGGTCACCAAATGAAAACCGGGTCGCTTTTTGTTTTCTCGTATTCTCCCTTCAGATATTAAAAGAGCTTATTGAATGAAAGTAAGGATATCGTTTATGCTATTTACTAACGACCCCGATGATCATTAATTTTATTATGTTTAGTACCAACGATTGGTTCATACGGCATTTGTTCCCTCAAGATCCTGTAGACCATGTGCACCATTGGTTTGGAATCCGGTTAAAGCGCCGGACATTCGCTTTTCGTCCTCTCATTTTAGTAAATAACACCCCCACCACGAGAAGGCAATGAGTAGGACTTCTCTGGCAGAGGCTGTATACGCGAGGCACAATTTGGACCTTTGAAACGCAGAGTACTTTACAAAACTGAAATAATTATACTTCTACAGTCACTCTTTGTGTTGAGTTGTTAGAGTTATTCGCAAATTAGTTTATCTGTATGGCTGTGAAAGTGCCGTTGGTGCTATGATTAGTAAAATCAATCTGCATATAATGAAGTCACGCATAAATACTAACAATTTAGGTCGTCTCTGTTTGTTAAACGTAGGGTGTACATCTCTTCGCTAAAGCACGTTCGCTTCGTGCTTGTGTAATTTGATACCTCTAGGTTTAAGATGTTTTGTGACTCACTGTAACTGACCACCATTGTTTCTTAAAGATGGCTTATATCCAACGCAACACCATGTCAGTAACTTTCAGGACAGACAAAGTACTCAGTGACGAAAACTCAGCCGATGTCACGTTTTTGAAATAATGCTGCTGGCAGCCTAGGGATCGGTTACGAATACCATCGCAAAGGCTTTGACATCACATATTATTTACCGACTCTGATGAGTGAAAAAAGCAGAGTCAATCATTTAATGACGCGGCATCATGATATGATAGTTATATTGGACAGATATCTGTTGGTCTATGGTGAATTCCCGGTTGGTGGTCTTAAAGATCGTACTAGGTAGTAGCTCTAGGTGTCATTAAATATGGCTCAGAATAGAAGTCAGTGATAATTTTGGTGTAGTTTCTACTAAATTCTTCATTAAAGCAGAATGAACACTATTAACTGAAGTAAACCTAGTTTTGGATGTATATTTAACTGGATTGTATCTTACTAGGTAGTACTTTTGTTCATTTATTGATTTATTATGGAGTTCTTTCCTTTTATATTTCTCCATAATATGATCGCTTCATTTGTGTATCTCTGTAATGTCGTGCTGTATTATAATTTACATATGTTCTAAATAGCTCTGGCAACGTACAAGCTACTACTAAATTTGTTTTATTTTTTTTCGGTATAACCTGTAGATACGTCTATAAAACAACGTAACTGTTTGGTAAATAGTTGTATGGAATCCAACATCAGGCATCGTTCTGAAAACACTATACAAGCATATTCATCGTCTTCATCGATGAAGGTTGATAATGAAAAAAATCAACTTCCAAAAATTGTGATAACTCGTCGTTTATGGTTGTTAATCATGGCGATTACAGTACATAATATACCTGAAGGTTTTGCAGTTGGTATTGCATTTGGTGGACTTGGACAATATTCAAGAACTACTTTCTCTCAAGCATGGTAAGTGGGGGTCACGTATTTTTAAATACCTTTGTAATTAAATAACTTTTAGATTTATGACGAATACTGGCACGTTGTTTGCGAATTGCAACTGAACTTCATTTTGCTTTGTGGTTGTACGAAATACCATTAGATCGCGTGTAAGATAGTATATTTAACTGCCATTACCTCGAAGGTCTTAGTCATTTTTCAGGGAACTACACTCTGGGTTTTTTTTACTAGATCGCAAATTGTAGATAATTGTACTTTGTACTTTACATATTCAGTAGTAAAGAAAAGGTGAAATGATATCTCTAACTGATAAAAAGAAGTACGTCTTTGACATCATATACTTGCTGTCAATTTTCTCTTCATGTATTGCTGTAAAGCTTAGTAAATGTAGAACCTATTCATGATCCTTTTGAATGAACTTTTACTCACTCGCAATTGACATATCTAGTAGAGATCACTCGAATGTTGTAATAATTCTTCTGGAATATTTTTCTTATTTACTGTTATTAATTCATTAGTTTTTTTATATTTGTTCCAAATGCAAATCAACTTTTCGAATATAGTTAATAAATAAAGTTCTATTTGACTTCCAGTGGTGCTTTCTAGGGGAATGATCAAATAATTGCTTAACGATCATATTACTACTAACCATCATTTGCTAAATGCTTTTATGTTATCAGTACATAAACTGTTTTCTAACTAATTTTTCTATTTCTGTTTTTTTTCTACATTAGTAATCTGGCGATTGGTATTGCTATTCAAAACTTTCCTGAAGGTTTGGCTGTCAGTTTACCGTTATATTCAGCTGGATATGGGTTTTTCATTAGTTTCTGGTAAACTCACTGTTTTATTATTTTATTTATCTAGTTTCTGCTTTTTGATGGTTTTCATTCATCTTTAAAATTCGTAATCATTCACCACTTCTAGGTTTTAGGAAATTTTTAGTTAATTTCAAGAGCATTAACGGCATTTAGTAATGATATTCAAATTTACTAATATATATATCACAATGAGTAGAAAATTTGTATTTCTGACATTTTGTGACTTAGTGTAAACCACTTCTTCATAGTAAAAAAATAACCGAATTATCAGAATGGGGATTTGTGGAGATTGTAGTATTTTAACAGTTGAATTCACGAATCGATCTTGGCTAAACCACCATTGAAAACCTGGAAGTGATAGACGGCCGTTTCGTTCAATTGGTCATGTACACCTTATTTTTTTAAAAATAACTGAGGCCTTAACCGTTTCCGATTTCTATGTGTGATTTCAATTTTAACTTTTATCTATATATTTTACAAAGTTAACAGTTGTCCTTATTTCCTATGGGTACTGGAGTCGTTAAATCTTTTTAAGACTACTTTATTTGTAACTTTTTAAATAGGTATGGACAATTGTCCGGTCTCGTAGAACCGTTTGCCGGGCTTATCGGTTGTCTAGCCGTACATTTCTTCCGAAGACTTCAGCCTTATGCGTTAGGCTTTGCTGCAGGAGCTATGCTATTCGTTGTAGTTGATGATATTATCCCTGAATCTCAGTCCAGGTAATTCATTGTTTGTTTTATAACTCTATTTCTCTCTGAGCAAATCCATTCATTCAAATATGTACAAGACAGATATTATATATATCGAGTTAGGCATTCTTAAACAGTTATTTGGTAACTCAAAATTCAGTAGAAAAGTCGAGGGTTTATTGATATTATTGACTTATGAAGGCGTTAAAAGCGCATAAATATGAGGACCTTTTTTTAAAAACATTGTTTGAACAAGGAAGGTTAGGTTCGCTAACTGAAAGGCAAAGTATTTTTAAGACGCATTAAAGGTTTAACTGTGAATAAAGATGATTCGTTACACAGAAGTATTCGTTTTGAAATTTAAAGCACCTTGAAAAGGTACAGAGTTAGTCAGTGACGCGGCATCGTGATATGAAAGATAGTTATATTGGACGGACATCTGTTGGTCTGTGGTGAATTCCCGGTTGGTGGTCTTAAAGATCGTACTAGGTAGTAGCTCTAGGTGTCATTAAATATGGCTCAGAATAGAAGTCAGTGATAATTTTGGTGTAGTTTCTACTAAATTCTTCATTAAAGCAGAATGAACACTATTAACTGAAGTAAACCTAGTTTTGGATGTATATTTAACTGGACTGTATCTTACTAGGTAGTACTCTTGTTCATTTATTGATTTATTATGGAGTTCTTTCCTTTTATATTTCTCCATAATATGATCGCTTCATTTGTGTATCTCTGTAATGTCATGCTGTATTATAATTCATATACAGTACAAATATTGTCATCTGGGTCCGTTGTGATTCGTCTGTTATTTCATTAATTCAGGAATATTTGAGTTAACCGGAATTACTCTTCAGTCCCCAGTTGCGCATTTCATGCTACGTATATTAGCAGATATAAGTATTATGTAACACAGATCAGAAGTGCAAGCTTGACAATAGGTTTATAAGTTTTGAACTTAAGGAAACAGAAAGGAATTGAGAAGTGAAAGAATCGTGAAAGATGTAAAGGATAATTGATAGAAAATTTGCAAATAAAGTATTTAATGTACGGTTTTCGCAGTTCACTAAAGGATTCTGTTCACGTTAACTATATGAGAGCGTTTCATATAACACTAACCTATTTGTAAATCTAAGTCGTACCTGCTTAGGCGTGTCTTCATACATACCATTGATGCCCCATCTGTAACTCATGTTAGATATTCATATAATCGTATTTTAATATTTGATCGATAACTGTCTTTTCCCATTAGTTCACAGAAAATTGTATTTGATTTTTTCTGTTGCCTATCTTACGTAACTTTTATTGGTATTATCACTACTTTATTGTCTCCTTTTGTTCTGTCTTCTCGTGCATTTGTCGGTCGCTCTCATTTTAAGTTTAGGAAGAGATGCAAAGTAGCCTATTATTTTGTGTCATCTTTTCAGAAAAATTTCATATGCTTTAATCTGTTACCATTATATTCATTTCTTTATCCAGTAACTCTTACAACTTTCTTTAAGATTGGCAAATACCTCGATAGGGGAAATAATTTTCGTAATCAACACATTGATTTGACCCTCATTTTTGTCAAAACTTGATGAAGGAATAACTTATCACTTGCATAACGATTACATATCTATCCTAATTCTATGTTTCTGTATTTTTTTTCAGAGGTCATGGCCGACTATCAACTGTCATGGCCCTTATTGGCTTCGCTATTATGATGTGTTTAGAAGTGGTCACAGAGACCTAGTGAAGAAAATACTTAGGTTTCTTATTGATGGAGCTCAAATTTTCACTTGTTTTGCAGTTGGTTGACTTACTGCCCCTTACCTGATACAATTATGTGATTGTGATATTATAAAAACATAACAAATAATCCGTTTTTTATATGCACATATCAGTTGTTTAAAAAATGCTTACGTACACCTTAAAATATTCCTATGTTTACTGCTAATAGGTGATTGTACCTTTAGTCTTTTGTACTCATCTCAATAATTTTGATCCTAATTTTTGACGTAAAGAACAAATATTTAGGGAAAGCAAATCATGTAGTTTTTCTTGTCTTCTTATGAATTTGTATTTTGTTTTTTTTCTGATACTGATGTTCTCTTTATACTTTAATAAAATTAGACTTAATATTGTCTCAAATCTTTCAGGTTTCATGCTGGTTTGTTTGGGATTAGAAATCTGTCATGTATACCTCGTATTTTTTTATATTTATGAAGAATAAATAGTTTTAATTTTTTATCTCTGTCTTCTATCACTTTTATTTGGTAGATAACTGTTAGTATATACAAATTGTATGATTGTTGTTGCTCAGGATTTGTGAAATTAGTGAACTGATGGATTGTCTGTATAATTTAATCAATCTAAAAATACCTAATTCTGTGGGCTTACAGGCGATACAGAATTTGAGTTAAAGTTGCTGCCTACACTGGTAACTTAAGTCTATATTTGTTTCTCAAAAAAAACACGTTCGGTAGGGGCTAAGAGAATCATGTATCCAATATTGTTGGCGTACAACTTCAAGTGAAAGCATTATGGCTCACAGTATACCAATGACTTTTCACTTCAACGGGACAAATACGTTTGTCGTATTTCCTCAGTATTAGAAGCTCCTTAGGGTAGGCACTCTGAGTCTACTCATTAGATCAAACGGATCGTATGCCCTCTGTAGATATGGAATATCATATCAATGAATCGACGAATGAAGCCAATCATCAATCCCGGGCACCGAACCGCACCCACGCTTTCTATTTCTTAGTAGTATTGCTAAGATATACAGATCTCTGAAAAAAAACATAGTGTATCGTTAACTGCATTGATTATTTGTTAATAAACTTAGTACAAGCCGTTTATCTAATCTTCCGATGGGTTTTAACTGGCCTAGTAAACCTATCCTGTCTGAACCATGCAAATGATCCTAAACAACGACGTTGTTTTACAAAACTTAGAACCCGCTCTCCAAACAGCTGGGAATCAACCTCTACTCCAACAGTCACTGTGTACTTTAATGATCAAAAGCTTACCCGTTTACATATTATTTATTATTATTTCAACACAAAAATTGGTACAAGGAGGCATCATATAGATATGCGCCACAAAAATCATCCGGTTTGTATGAAGACTGGGATACTGCCCGGGTGCACAGACCGAAGCGGGTTGTTTTCTTAGAGGGCCACACCTGGTGCTTTTCACCTAAAGGTCTGACCCGCAGGGCGGTGGAGCAACATCAGGAGATGCAGTCCCATGGCAGCCGGTGATCAACGATTGGTTCATACGCCATTTGTTCCTTCAGGACACGAGCCTATGTGCACCGTTGGTTTGGAATCAGGGTTTTCCAGCTTCTCCAGATGGACCCTCCGTGTTCACCAACCCGTGAAAGCGCTGGACATTCGCTTTTCATTCTTTCAATTTCGTAAACAACACCCTAGCCTCGAGAAGGCAGTGAGTAGGGCTTCCCTGGGAGAGATTATTTAAATTTAAGAGTTCCAGTGATTTTGATCGCAAAGTAAGTAATAATATGTATATCAATAGAATATACGTGGTGCAAAACTATGTAAAAAATTTGTGTACAACCACAGTTTATAAACTTATTTACTTACACCTGTTACTCCTCGTGAAGGAGCATAGGCCGCACACCAGCATTCTCCATCCAACCCTGTCCTGGGCAGTCCTTTCTAGCTCCGTCCAGTTGTAATTCATCGTTTTCATATCTGCTTCTATTATCCGACGCAATGTGTTCTTTGGCCTTCCTCTTTCTCGCTTCCCTTCAGGATTCCAAGTTAGCGCTTGCCTCGTGATGCAGTTTGACGATTTACGTAATGTATGTCTTATCCATTTCCATCGTCTTTTCCTAATTTCTTCTTCAGCTGGAAGTTGGTTTGTTCTCTCCCACAGAAGGCTATTGCTGATGGTATCCGGCCAATGGATGTTGAGTATCTTGCGTAGACAGCTATTTATAAATACTTGTACTTTCTTGATTGTGGTTGTTGTAGTTCTCCAAGTTTCAGCTCCATACAGTAGAACTGCCTTGACGTTGGCATTGAAGATTCTCACTTTGACATTGGTTGAAAGTTGTTTTGAGTTCCATATGTTCATTAACTGTAGGAATGCTGTCCTTGCTTTGCCAATCCTTGCCTTTATGTCTGCATCTGAACCTCCTTGTTCGTCGATGATGCTTCCTAGGTATGTGAAAGACTCTACATTTTCCAGACTTTCGCCATCAAGAGTGATTGGATTGTTGTTTTCCGCCTTGAATTTGAGGACTTTGGTTTTCCCTGTGTATGCTGAGGCCTACTGATGCAGAGACTGCTGCTACATTGGCTGTCTTCATCTGCATCTGTTCGTGTGTACGTGATAGGAGGGCTAGGTCATCTGCGAAGTCCAAATCGTCTAATTGATTCTGAGCTGTCCATTGTATTCCGTGTTTTCCTTCAGATGTCGAGGTCTTCATAATCCAGTCGACCACTAGAAGAAAGAGGAAGGGAGAGAGTAAACAGCCTTGTCTGAGTCCGGTCCTTACTTGGAATGCATCTGTCAGCTGTCCTCCATGCAAGACTTTGCACTGTAGTCCGTCGTATGAGTTCCGGATAATGCTGACAATCTTCTCAGGAACTCCGTGTTGTCGAAGAAGTTTCCATAATGTCCTCCTATCTACACTGTCGAATGCTTTTTCATAATCAATGAAGTTGATGTATAGTGATGAGTTCCACTCAACTGATTGTTCGCCGATGGTTCGTAGTGTTGCAATTTGGTCTGTGCACGACCGATCCTTACGGAATCCAGCTTGTTGATGTCGAAGTTGGACGTCTACTGCATCCTTCATCCGGTTCAGCAACACTCTGTTGAAGACTTTCCCTGGTATTGACAGCAGTGTAATGCCTCTGTAGTTTTCACATTTGCTCAGATCTCCTTTCTTTGGAATCTTGACGAGGTGCCCTTCTTTCCAGTCCATCGGCACTTGTTCCTCCTCCCAAATCATTTTGAATAGAAGGTAAAGCATGTTTGTAGTTGCTTCGATGTCTGTTTTCAGTGCTTCAGTTGGTATGTTGTCCGGACCCGCTGCTTTCCCGTTCTTGATTTGTCTGACGAACATTCTGGTTTCTTCCTTCGTTGGTGGGTTGACGTCTATGGGAAGATCTGTGTGTGCCGCTTCGATGTCCGGTGGATTCATTGGAGCCGACCTATTCAGGAGTTCCTCGAAGTATTCTACCCATCTGTTCCGCTGTTGTTGAATTTCGGTGATTGGCTTGCCTTCTTTGTCTTTGACCGGCCTCTCTGGTTTACTGTATTTCCCTGCTAGTTTCTTCGTTGTATCGTGAAGCTGTTTCATATTTCCTTCTCTAGCAGCTTTTTCTGCCGTCGTTTGTAGTTCTTCCACGTATTTCTTCTTGTCGGCTCTAATGCTCCTCTTCACTTGCTTGCTTACTTCTATGTATTCAGCTTGTGCTTGGACTTTCTCTGCTCGTGTTCGGCTGTTGTTTATTGCTGCCTTCTTGTTCTTCCTTTCTTTGATCTTGTTCAGTGTTTCTGTAGAGATCCATTCCTTATGATGGTATTTCTTTAGACCCAGAACCTCTTGACACGTTGAAGTTAATGCTTCCTTGATGCCTTTCCAGTTGTCCTCCATACTAGTTTCTTCTTCTTTCAGTAGATCTTGTAAGGCTTGGAACCTGTTGTTGAGAGCTATCTTGAATGCATTGAGTCTGTCAGTATCTCGAAGGAAGGCTGTATTGAACCTTTGTAGTGCTGTTTGTCCACTTGTCCAGTTCTTTTTTAGCTTCAGTTTTAAATTGGCCACAACTAGGTGGTGATCTGAAGCTACGTCAGCGCCTCTCCTGGTTCTCACATCTTCCATTGTCCTTCGGAATTTTTTGTTGATGCAAATATGATCTATTTGGTTCTCTGTAGTGTGGTCCGGTGAGATCCATGTAGCCTTGTGTATACGCTTGTGTGGAAATATTGTGCCTCCTATGACCAATTTGTTGAATGCACATAGATTTGCAAATCTTTCTCCATTTTCGTTTCTTCCTCCCAGTCCATGTCGTCCCATAATATCTTCATATCCAGTGTTGTCTATTCCGACTTTGGCATTTAGATCTCCCATCAGAATAGTTAAGTCCTTTCTTGGGCATTTCTCAATGACTGACTGCAGCCGCTCGTAGAATTGATCTTTAATGTCGTTGTTGCTATCAGTGGTGGGTGCATAACATTGGATAATATTCATTAAGATCCCCTCCTTCTTTGTTTTGGATGATGCTTTGATGATTCTGGATCCGTGAGGTTCCCATCCTACAAGTGCATTTCGTGCTACTTTGGACAGCATAAGAGCGACTCCCTGAGTGTGTGGAGCATTGTTCTCTTCGTGACAGGAGTATAGCAGTATCTCTCCCGTAGTTAGCCTTTTCTGTCCAGCTTGGGTCAAGTGTGTTTCGCTGACTCCAAGTACTGCTACGTTGTATCTCCTCATTTCCGTTGCTATTTGACTGGTCTTCCCTGTATCCCACATTGTTCGAACGTTCCATGTACCTATAAAATTTTTTGCTCTGTTAGAATGAGCATTGGCCTCGTGGCTTCCGAAGGATCTCGGCTTTCACCATGAAGCGTCATAATTCTTTTAAATAAAAACCGCCTAACTCCCAGGACAGGGTTTAAATGGTTTGGATTACTTTTTCTGGTAAGCGTTTTTTTAGCGAGTTAGTTTTCTACGGGATGGGGACGCTAACCCCATGCCCAACCCTCCTCCTT